CAGCTTGGGGACGTGGGACTGTTGCTCTGGTCCTTACGTCAGAGCCTGGCCCTCTCCGGTGAGCTTCCTGTACCCCAACCCCACGCTGAGCTGAGCACTGGCAGTTCCTGGCACTGAGCTCTAAGAGGGGAGCAGGAGTTTGTGGAGTGGGAAGGAGGCAGGAAGGGTGTGGATGCAGCGCAGTGGCAGTCAGAAACAGGCTCCAGTCTGGCACTGCCTGTTTCTCTTTGAGTGATCTTAGCCCTCTATGGCTCAGTTTCCTTGTCTGTGCAAGGGGAACAGTGGAAACCTTGTCCCGTAGGGTCATTACAGGGACTAGAGAAGAGAATGAGAATGCCATGCTCATCGTGGGGCTTAGACCAGAGCAATCGTTCCAATGACAGCTGCTCCCACAGCTGTCATTATTTTAAAAACTAGTTATTTATTTATTTAATTCTGTTTCTTGTTATTATTTTTTTCATTTGACCAGAGAGAGAGAAAGGGAAAGTGAGAAAGCAGGCCACCAGGTCTGGGACTTGAACCGTGGTTGGCCATGTAGGAATCCAGCGCCTTTAACCACCATGCCACCTGCTGGCCCCACAGGTGTCATTATTATTACTACTATTATGAATTCATTTCTCCAGGGATGTGAGTTTTCTTTTGCTCCTTATGCTACCCACTTTCCTAACTCTCCCCAGTGACTGTGAGGCACCCATCTTTCTTCTTGCCTTTAGGCCGAGGGAGAAGAGGCTAACAGGCTGGAAACTCCTCTCTATCTGGCCCATCAGTGCATCTGCCTTGTGTCCTGGGGTCTCCCAGGCTGGAGGCTGTGATTCCAGAGTAGGGGTCCGAGTACAGAGGCTGATGTCCTAAAAATGACAGTGACATGCTTGAACACTTGCTGAGTGGTCACCCTGTGCCTGGGGACTCTGGCTGGGAGTGCAGCCTGGCCTGCTAGGAGGTGAGGGCACCGCTGGCCCCTGCTGCTCACGGACTGCTTGGTGCCAGCCTCTCAGTCCTTCTCAGCTGCCTGGGCACCCCTGGGTCATAGATGCCTGCCAGGCAGGATACCGGGAGGGCCGTATCACACACCCACCACACACCTGGCCTCTAGCTGTGCACACTGCATTGGGCCCCTGCAGAGAGAACCCAGTGGGGCTGGGCGATGGACCACTCCAGCTTCCACGCCCCAGGACCCCAGCACTCACTGTACCTTAATGATGGGGTGAATAATTCAGGCAGCTGAGTGTCGGTCATGAAATATTAAACAGGCTGTTCCTGACGCACCGGCATGTGAGTGCATGTGCGGGGGCGATGCTGGCACTGGGGCGTGGAGACCAGAGGCCATGAGCCAGCGTGTTTCTGAGGAGATGTGTGGGACTGGGTCTTCCGTCTGCCTGTGCGTGTCGGCAGGACCCTCTCTGCTCCTGACACGAATGGGGGAGGTGTTGAGGACAGGCCTGCTCCTCCCCAGACTCGGAAAGTGCCTCGGGAGGGGGTTACTCACGTTAAAGAGAATAAAAGGAGACCAGAGACAAGTGTCCAGTGAGGGCTCAGGAGTCAAGGAAGGGGGCAGAGGACCAGGACTTTAGGGACAGGGAGAAATCATCTGGGACAGCCCAGGGGTGAGGAATGGGGTGGGCACGGCCAAGGAAGAGGATGGGCAAAATATTGCCCAGGAAAATGGGCTAGAGAGATGAGGGGATGGCCAGATGTGCATGTTGATGGGGGGACGGGCCAAATTGGATGAGTGCAGAGGGCCTTGATGGCTGGGGCAGAGTGTGTGATAATTCTGTGGGTGGGTGGATGAGGGGAGGCAACTGGGTGAATGTGACAGGACGTAGAGTGCTTCCTGGGACACAGGGCCGTCAGAGCACAATAGGATGCAGCCCCCATCTTGTAGGGGCGGTGGTGGGCAGCTACTGGGTCTGGGAGTTGATTGTAGCTCCACCTAGTGCCCCACTCTGGTAACTGCACCCTGGGCTGTCTTCACTATCAGCGCAGTGGCCAGGCCAGCTTCTTTGCCAGCAGCACCCTGCCCCATGGAGCTGGCTCCTGTTCCCAAATCAAGACTCTTCTGGGGTGGCAGAGCAATAATAAGGGACAGCAGAAATCTAGGTCTTAGGGGAAGCCCCTGGGGTACAGGTCCCATCTGCTCCTTCCTTACTTCATCTCTTTATCTACATGCCTGTTGAGGACCAGGCCCTGCATCACACAGATGTGCACTCACTAACTGTGTGACCTTTGGCATGACACAGCCCTCAATTGCCCTTCTGCAAAATGGGAATGAACCTTTGGGGAATAGCAGTTGGCATAATAGCTATGTCGCTGGACTCCCATGTTGTTGACCACAGTTCAAGTCCCAGACCCGGTGGCTTAAACTCACACCGGGCACGTGCGTGTGCATGCCCAAGATCCCGAGAGGAGAATGGAGAAGAGATTGCGGCATGGCCATCCCTCCTGGGGAGTGATTTCTCGCTTTCTGTCTCTCTGTCTCTTTCTGTCTTTCTGGCAAACTCACGCACCCTATAGCAAAAACCTCTCCAAAAAGAAAAAAAAAGAAGAAGAACCTTTGGCCAGGCAGTGGTTTGATAAAGGCAGCTAGATCCTACATGGCGCATCCTACCATGGACCTGAGGATTGAGAAACACACCAGGCATGTGTGCATGCATGCCCCAGATCCCGAAAGGAGGGAGAGATGGAGAAGAGATTGCAACATGACCATTCCCCATAAGGGGTACTTTCTCACTTTCCCTCATTCTCTGTCTCTCTCTGGTGCCTCTTTCCAGGGAGTGCAAGTGCCTCTGGCAAAACTTTTAAAAATAAGTAAGTGGGGGACCAGCAGGTGGTGTGGTGGTTAAGGCGCTGGCTCCCAGATGGCTGATGGCACTTCGAGTCCCAGACCTGGCAACTTGCTTTCTCACTTCCCCTTCCTCTCTCTTTCTTTCTGGTCAGATTAAAAAATAATAACTATAATAATAATAACAAAGGGGATTAAATAAAATTTTTTAAATAAATAAATAAATAAAGGGGCCAGCAGGTGGTATGGTGGGTGGTTAGGACTCTGGACTCCCACATGGCCGACTGTGGCTTGGGCCCCAGACCCAATGCTTTTTCATTTTCCCTCTCTGTCTGTCTCTCTCTGGTGAGCACACATGTCTTGTAGCAAACTGAAAAATAATAATGGTGATAAAGAAAGTTAAATAAATAATTATTTTCGGGACCAGCAGTTAGCGTGATGGCTATGTTGCTGGACTCCCACGTAGTCGACCGCGGTTCGCGTCCCGGACCCAGTGGCTTAAAACTCATGGCGGGCGCATGTGCGTGCGTGCCCAGGATCCCGAGAGGAGAATGGAGAAGGGATTGTGGCATGACCATCCCCCCTAGGGGGTAATTTCTTGCTTTCTGTCTCTCTATCTCTCTCTCTGTCTGGCGAGCGCACGCGCCCTATAGCAAAAACCTCTAAAAAATAAATAATAAATAAATAAATAAATAAATCATTATTTTAAAAAAGGTGTAGGAGCCAGCAGGTGGTGTGGTGGTTAAAGGCATTGGACTCCCACATGGTTGACCATGGTTCAAGTCCTAGACCTGGTGGCTTGGTTTCTCACTTTCTTTCTGTCTGCTCAAACTGCAAAATAATAATAAATAAAGTTAAATAAAAAATAATTCTTAAACAAAAAAAGAGACTGCAGTGATATATGATGATTGAATATATAAAATAAATTAAATTTAAAAAAATAGGAACCTGCCTGCTTGTACCAGAGCACAACGCTAGCACCTTGGAAGAGCTCAGCAAATGGTGGTCACCCATTCCCCTGTAAGGTTACCAGGTTAATGAGAACAAGGAAACCCAGGATGTCCAAGGAACTTTGAATTTCTGATAGATAATGTTTTAGGACAAGAATATCCCACATACTATTTGAGATACACTAAGCCATTATTTATCTGGAATTCAAATGTAACTGGACGTCTTGTACTTCATTTGGGAACCCCATCACCCTGCCCTCTGAGACCTCCGTCTTCCAGTGGAGGAAAAACCCAAATTAGATGTGAACGAAGCATGCCAGTTGTCCATAGAGCAGACCCAAGGCAGTATGATCACAGAGGCAGGCAAAGGAAAATCAGAGGTTTAACTGGGAAGGAGGACAGAAGGGCATTCCAGATGGAGGGGGATGTGACCAAAGGCAGAGGGGTCAGGCGCAGCAAGTTTGGGAACTGGTGGTGGTAGTAGGGAGAGGCCACATTCTGAAGACCTTGTTAAAAAGGCAGGACTGGGACCAACAGCTGACATAATGGCTATGTCGCTGGACTCCCATGTAGTCCACCGCAATTGTGGTTTAAGTCCCGGGCCCAGTGGCTTAAACTCACACCAGGCGTGTGTGCGTGCTTGCCCAAGATCCTGAGAGGAGAATGGAGGAGAAGGGATTGAGGCCATCATCCCCTCAGGGGGTGATTTCTCGCTTTCTGTAAGAAAAACCCCCAAAAAAAAAAAAAAAAAAAAAAAAAAAGGCAGGACTATTGGGATCAGCAGGTGGCATGCTGGTTAAGACACTGGACTCCCACATGGTCGACCGCGGTTTGAGTCCTGGACCTGGTGGCTTGCTTTCTCACTTTCTCACTGTCCCTCTGTGTATGTGTGTATGTATGTGTGTGTGTGTGTGTGTGTGTGTGTGTGTGTGTGTGTGTCTGATCAAATTAAAATAAATGAATGAATAAATAAAGTTTTTAAGGCGGAACTATTTACCCAGGGCAGGGATGAACTCCGTCAGACATGCATTATAGAAAGTCGGACATGCACTATAAAAAGACAGCTGCTGGGAGGGCCCAGGTGGCCACCCTGAGGGAGTGGCGCAGGACTGAGTCCAGAGGTAGTCAGGGACAGCAGTGGGGACAGGAAACTAGGACCTTCTCAGCCTGTCCTCCTGGTCCCGCAGGGCTCCCTTCCAGGGAGCGAGGGGTGTAAGGACGCTTTGAGTGGGGTCAGGCGCTGAGAGTTCACAAAGCGTCCGTCTCTGCAGGGGAGTGAATGCCCAAACCAAGAACGGTGCCACGCCCCTGTACCTGGCGTGCCAGGAGGGCCACCTGGAAGTGACGCAGTATCTGGTGCAAGAATGCGGCGCGGACCCACACGCGCGCGCCCAGGACGGCATGACCCCGCTGCACGCTGCAGCGCAGATGGGCCACAGCTCGGTCATCGTGTGGCTGGTGAGCTCAAGGATAGGGAGGGGTGGAGCCCGGGAAGAGGGCGGGCCCGGGAAGGGGCGGGGCCCGGGCCACGAGGGGCCCGGCGCCGAGTCCCCGCTCCTCTTTCCCCACCCACTCCTGCCCAGGTGAGCTGCACCGACGTGAGCCTATCTGAGAAGGACAAAGACGGTGCCACGGCCATGCACTTCGCGGCAAGCCGCGGCCATGCCAAAGTGCTCAACTGGCTCCTGTTGCACGGCGGCGAGATCTCGGCGGATCTGTGGGGCGGGACCCCGCTGCATGACGCCGCGGAGAACGGGGAGCTGGAGGTCGGAGCTGGGCCAGGGAGGGGCGGGGCCTGGGCGCCCTCTGCTGGCGCGGTGGTCTCAGCAGAGCCCCGCGAGGAGGGAGGGGCGGCATGGGGGGCTCTGCAGCTCACAGCCAGTGTCCTCACTGAGTGTCCCCGCAGTGCTGCCAGATCCTGGTAGTGAACGGCGCGGAGCTGGACGTCCGCGACCGTGACGGGTACACGGCCGCCGACCTGTCCGACTACAACGGCCACAGCCACTGCACCCGCTACCTGCGCACCGTGGAGAACCTGGTACGCCGGCACGGCTCTGGCTGTTATCTCATCTCCCCTCCCGCACCCTCTGTGATAGGCGGTTTACTCTCATTGCCAAGGAAAAGCCTGAAGTTCAGGACCGTGAGGTCACACAAGTATGCCCCTTGCCCGCTACCCCACATGACCTCTCAGCCCAGAACCAGTACCCACTGGAGAGTGTGGAGAGTTAGAGAGTAGAGGCTAAAAGGTCAAAGGAAGGTGGGGTGGACCGGAGGCACCTTAAAAGCGAAGTCTGGGAGCAGTTCAAGACACCTCTGGGAACAGCCCAGTTCAGTCACCTGGCCACATGTATTAGCTCATTTAAATCTCTGAGGCAGATGGTATTAGTGTCTCCATTTCACAGATGGACACATGGGGTCTTCCAGAGACCCCGGAGGTCACACAACCAGTAAATGCTGCAGTCAGGGTGGCCTGACCTGGCCAGGACCGCCTCCCTGGACCCCTGATACTGTGTTTGCTCACTTTGTAGCTACTTTGTAACTGGAAACCTGTGTTACTCTTATGGATAGACACTCCAAGTCCAGGGCCCTCCACCATGTGGTACAAAGCCTGCTTTCGCACAGTGGGGACAGGCACCCTCAGGAAGATGTTGCTCAACTCCAGGGACAGCCTGGCCATGAGATGGGTCACATGATGAGGCTCAAAGGAGAGAACGCCCTTGCCCTAAGCACTGTCTATCTGCCCAGCCTGTAAGCACACAGGGACAACCCTGGTTCTGGGGACTGGAGTGTCAGAGACTGCAGGTGGACCCAAGGGCGAATTTTCCCCTAGAAAGAGCCTCCCAAAGAGAGTGGGAGGTCCAACAGATAGTGAGCAGCCTGTCACAGGGGTATAGAAGCAGAGGTGGATACTGTGAAGGACACCAGAGGCGGGCCTTCCAGCTGAGGGTCTGCCACTCTTATGGGCTGTGCAGCGGGACCCAGAGCCAGGGCCCTCCAGCCACTGCTGAGAACCTCCCCACTGCAGCTCTAACAGGTACGCACCAACAGTACCATCCCCTGAACTCTGACTCTTGCAGGTACCTTGCCAAGTGCCTTATAGGTGTGGCCTCAGTCAATCTGCACAATAAAATCGTTTACTAGTTGACACGTGATATTTCCTGGGTACCATGCCCTGGTACATCATTTTTTTAAAACGTTTTTTAAATCTATTTATTTGTTGTGATTTTCAGGCCATTGGGTCTGGGACTTGAACCATAGTAGGCCAAGTAGGAGTCCAGCGCTTCAATCACCATGCTACCTGCCAGCCCCTGACACATATTTTTTGAAGAATTATTTATTGGGAACCAGCAGTTAGCGTAATGGCTATGTCACTGGACTCCCACGTAGTCGACTGCGGTTCGCTTCCCGGACCCAGTGGCTTAAAACTCACACCGGGCGCGTGTGCGTGCGTGCGTGCCCAAGATCCCGAGAGGAGAATGGAGGAGAAGGGATTGCAGCGTGACCACCCCCCAGGGGGTTATTTCTCGCTTGCTGTCTCTATGTCTCTCTCTGTCTGGCGAGCGCACGTGCCCTATAGCGAAAAAAACTCTCAAAAAAAAAAAAGAATTATTTATTTAATTTTGTTTATCATTATTATTTTTTAATTTGACCAGAGAGAGAAAGAGTGAGAAAGCAAGCTGCCAGGTTCGGGTCTCAAACCAGGGTCAGCCATGGAGGAGTCCAGCACCTTAACCACCACACCACCCACTGACCCCAACTTGTCATTTTTAAAATATCTTTTGCAACTCAGAGGGGCACATAGTACTGTTATCCCCATGTACAGATAAAGAAACTGAGGCACAAAAAAGGAGAGGTGACTTGCTCAAGGTCACATAGCTAATAACTAAGGGAAATGAAATTTGAAGCCATTGTCCCAGACTGCAGAGATTGTGTGCCTTCTGGGCTCAGGGTTGGGTGCCCTCGGTGCCCACTACTGTTGGCCAACAAAAGAGCATTTCACGCTGTCCCCCAGCATCTCATATGGCTCCCCCGTGGCTCATGGGGTAGGCAGCAGGGCCTGGGCTCCTGCACTGGGTGGAGTATGGGAGCCCAGCTGTGGCAGTGACAGATCCAAGCCACTGAGGATGCTGGCCCAGAAAAGGCAAATACTCCCGCAGAGCCCCTAATTACAGGGCCAATGAGCGTGGCCGTCAAGCTGTTACCTGGTGCCAGGCCTGCCTCCCTGTCCCAGGGGGCCTGTGACACTTCTCAGGCAGGGAGGGGGCACGGGGCAGGGAGGAGCAGGCCTAGGCAGGAGGCAGCGGAGGAGCGGGCTTACCGGCAGCAGAGACAACATGGGCAACGTAAGCAGGGCCCCCACCCCAGCTCACTTCCATGCAGGGAGGGGACAGGCCTGTGGTCAGGGACAGATGGAGGGATGTGGGGGAGGGATAAGCTCAGGCTGCCCATCTCAGCTCAACTGAGCCACTGCGGGCCCCACCCTTTCCTCAAGGGCTCTCAGGAATGGGCAAGGGAAGACGGGGTTGTCAGCCCGGTCATAGGGGACTGGCCTTTCATGTACCCCTCCCTAGATTGACTGAAGTCAGGGCCCTCTGCCCCCTGACAAGGAAGAAGGCTGGTGCCATGGCAGTTCTTCCCTTGGGGTTCAGCCCAGGCCGCTTCCCAACCAGTCTCTCCACACTCATAAGCAGGGAAGGAAGGGCCATGGTGGGAGTTTCTCAGGAACCTATGGATGCTGCCTTGGGAGCTGGGTTTGAATCAGTCTGGGAAGCACCTGAGAAACCCCCTAGCGATGGGACAGGAACCAGCAGTTAGCGTAATGGCTATGTCGCTGGACTCCCACGTAGTCGACCGCGGTTTGCGTCCCAGACCTGGTGGCTTAGAAATCATGCTGGGCGCGTGTGCGTGCGTGCCCAAGATCCCAAGAGGAGAATGGAGGAGAAGGGATTGCAGCATGGTCATCCTCCCTGGGGGGTGATTTCTCGCTTTCTGTCTCTCTGTCTCTCTGTCTGGTGAGCGCACGCGCCCTATAGCGAAAACCTCTCAAATAAAATAAATAAATAAAAAAAGAAACCCCCTAGCGATGGGGAAAGGATCCCAGAGAAGGATGTGGCATGCTGGAGTCACATAGCAAGGGCCCCCTGAGTGAACCCAGGCCCCTAAAGTAGCTGGTTTTCCAACTGGGGTTGTCCTCATGACCCTCCCTCTGTCTGGCGAGCGCACGTGCCCTATAGCGAAAAAAACTCTCAAAAAAAAAAAAAGAATTATTTATTTAATTTTGTTTATCATTATTATTTTTTAATTTGCTACAAGGCATGCAAATTCATCAGAGAGAGACACAGAGAGAGAGAGAGAGAGAGAAAGGGAAAATGAGAAAGCAAGCCACCAGGTTCGGGTCTCAAACCAGGGTCAGCCATGGAGGAGTCCAGCACCTTAACCACCACACCACCCACTGACCCCAACTTGTCATTTTTAAAATATCTTTTGCAACTCAGAGGGGCACATAGTACTGTTATCCCCATGTACAGATAAAGAAACTGAGGCACAAAAAAGGAGAGGTGACTTGCTCAAGGTCACATAGCTAATAACTAAGGGAAATGAAATTTGAAGCCATTGTCCCAGACTGCAGAGATTGTGTGCCTTCTGGGCTCAGGGTTGGGTGCCCTCGGTGCCCACTACTGTTGGCCAACAAAAGAGCATTTCACGCTGTCCCCCAGCATCTCATATGGCTCCCCCGTGGCTCATGGGGTAGGCAGCAGGGCCTGGGCTCCTGCACTGGGTGGAGTATGGGAGCCCAGCTGTGGCAGTGACAGATCCAAGCCACTGAGGATGCTGGCCCAGAAAAGGCAAATACTCCCGCAGAGCCCCTAATTACAGGGCCAATGAGCGTGGCCGTCAAGCTGTTACCTGGTGCCAGGCCTGCCTCCCTGTCCCAGGGGGCCTGTGACACTTCTCAGGCAGGGAGGGGGCACGGGGCAGGGAGGAGCAGGCCTAGGCAGGAGGCAGCGGAGGAGCGGGCTTACCGGCAGCAGAGACAACATGGGCAACGTAAGCAGGGCCCCCACCCCAGCTCACTTCCATGCAGGGAGGGGACAGGCCTGTGGTCAGGGACAGATGGAGGGATGTGGGGGAGGGATAAGCTCAGGCTGCCCATCTCAGCTCAACTGAGCCACTGCGGGCCCCACCCTTTCCTCAAGGGCTCTCAGGAATGGGCAAGGGAAGACGGGGTTGTCAGCCCGGTCATAGGGGACTGGCCTTTCATGTACCCCTCCCTAGATTGACTGAAGTCAGGGCCCTCTGCCCCCTGACAAGGAAGAAGGCTGGTGCCATGGCAGTTCTTCCCTTGGGGTTCAGCCCAGGCCGCTTCCCAACCAGTCTCTCCACACTCATAAGCAGGGAAGGAAGGGCCATGGTGGGAGTTTCTCAGGAACCTATGGATGCTGCCTTGGGAGCTGGGGTTGAATCAGTCTGGGGAGCACCTGAGAAACCCCCTAGCGATGGGACAGGAACCAGCAGTTAGCGTAATGGCTATGTCGCTGGACTCCCACGTAGTCGACCGCGGTTTGCGTCCCAGACCTGGTGGCTTAGAAATCATGCTGGGCGCGTGTGCGTGCGTGCCCAAGATCCCAAGAGGAGAATGGAGGAGAAGGGATTGCAGCATGGTCATCCTCCCTGGGGGGTGATTTCTCGCTTTCTGTCTCTCTGTCTCTCTGTCTGGTGAGCGCACGCGCCCTATAGCGAAAACCTCTCAAATAAAATAAATAAATAAAAAAAGAAACCCCCTAGCGATGGGGAAAGGATCCCAGAGAAGGATGTGGCATGCTGGAGTCACATAGCAAGGGCCCCCTGAGTGAACCCAGGCCCCTAAAGTAGCTGGTTTTCCAACTGGGGTTGTCCTCATGACCCTCCCTGCCCTCCCTCAGAGCGTGGAGCACCGTGTGCTGTCCCGAGATCCATCCACTGAGCTGGAAGCAAAGCAGCCTGACTCGGGCATGTCCTCGCCCAACACCACCATGTCAGTGCAGCCACCAAACTTTGACCTCAGCTCGCCCACCAGCACCCTCTCCAACTATGACTCCTGCTCTTCCAGCCACTCCAGCATCAAGGGCCAGTGCCCTCCACGTGGTGAGTGGGCCAGGCGGGAAGAAAGGGGGGAGAGAGTAGATGGGCTGGACCACTGGACCTCTAGAGTTGGCCCTGGGCTGCCCCACCCGTGGCCCACATTGGAGGCTCTTTGTCACCCACTGTCTTTAACACTGGGAGGGGACACACATGCTTGTGCGTGCCCATCAGAGACGTACATTTACAAATCTACAAACTGAGAATCATGGGGCCGGCAAGTGGCATGGTGATTAAGGTACTAGACTCGCACATAACAGACTGTGGTTCAAGTCTTGGACCTGATTAATTGCTTTCTTGTTTTCTCTCTGTTTCTTCTCTCTCTCTGGTCAAATTGGAAAATAATAATAAATAAAATAAAATAATTCTTTAAAAAAAAAAGAGAGAGACTCATGTAAGTTAAGTAATGTGTCCAAAGCCACCTGATCATAAATAGGAAAGCTGAAATTTTACATAGTTATACAAAGGTCTTCAAAAAGTTCATAGAGGGGGTGGGAACCAGCAGTTAGCGTAATGGCTATATCGCTGGACTCCCACATAGTGGACCGCGGTTCGTGTCCCGGACCCGGTGGCTTAAAACTCACGCCGGGCGCATGTGCGTGCGTGCCCAAGATCCCGAGAAGGGATTGCGGCGTGCCCATCCCCCCTGGGGGGTGATTTCTCGCTTTCTGTCTCTATGTCTCTCTCTGTCTGTCTGGCGAGCACGCACATGTGCCCTATAGCAAAAACCTTTCAGAAACACACACACACACACACACACACACACACACACACACAACTCCTGCCAGGTGCGTGTGCACACATGCCCAAAATCCTGAGAGGAGAATGGAGGAGAAGGGATTGTGATGTGGCCATCCCCCTGGGGGGGGTGATTTCTCACTTTCTGTCTTTCTGTCTCTCTCTGTCTTTCTGGTGAATGCACGTGCCCTATAGCAAAACCCTCTCCAAATAAATAAATAAGTAAAGTTAAAGAAAATAATTCTAAAATAATAATAATAATAAATAAATTTAAATCACGTTCTTAAAAGTTTATCAAACATGCTGGCCCTGTGGCCTGGTGGTTAAGGCAGCTGGATCCTACATGGCTGTCCCTGCAGTTTGAGTCCTGGACCTGGCACCTTGAGAAATGTGCTGGACGAATGAGCATGAATGACCAAAATGACGATTGAGGGAGAAGTGGGGGAGTGGGGATTGCAGCATGGCCATCTCCCATGGGGGGGACTTTCTCATTTTCCTTCTTTCCCTCTTTCTCTCCAGCAGGTGCATGCGCCCTCTGCCAAAGTAAAAAATAAAACAAAATATCCACATGCACCCTACACATTATTCATTGTTCTCATCTATACTCAAGAGTGCACACTTGTACATGTGTATACACAGTATACAGATATGACTGCACAAGCACAGAGTTGTGCAAATATTTGTGCACACTTATATTACATACAACCCTCCACTTTCATTCAGCAGACATGTACACACACCCCACATCCACAGACCAATACAAACATGCTTACACACATGAAGACTAATGCACACACACTCAGACGTACACGTATACACAAATACTCAGGCAGAAGCTAGGCGTGCATGTGCACAGGCTGGCTCCACCCTCAGAATGGGTGTCAATCCACATGCAATGCCTGCTTCATGCCACCAGGTGGTGGACTGCAGAGGCGACAGGAGTGTCCACCAAAGATCGGGTATGGCCATCTGTACCTTGCCACCTGCCCTGCCATATGCCCTGAGGAGTACCTCTTAGCCCACGTTGCCCATCGACTAGTTATTAACAGGTGATGGAAACTCTCTGTCCAGGAGGACATCGTCTCTGCAAACTCCCCAACTAAGCCTTCTGTCCTACTTCCCCAGGGCTTCCCAGCGGGAGAGCTGCAGACATACAGAGCTACATGGACATGCTGAATCCAGAGCTGGGCCTGCCTCGGGGCAAGATGGGGAGGCCTACGCCACCACCACCACCGCCAAGCTTCCCTCCGCCACCCCCCCCCCCCGGCACCCAAG